ACCAGAGGGTGGGGCAGGGCTAAGGGGCGCCAAGCTCAGCAAGAAGAAAGCAAAGCCGGCGGGATTCCTGGGCGGCCATGGTGCCAGCGTAGAGCTCAGCCTCACATGAGGAGAGGGAAATGGAGGAGGAGCGTGTGGAGCGCCAGCTAACAAGGCCACTGCCGAGGGTGAAGCTGTAGCCCTGAGAGGAGCGGCGGTCCGGCTGCGAGTCGGCCCAGGAGGAGTCGCTAAAGCAAAAAAGGAGGGGAGGGGAGGAGCCACCAAGAGTGGGGGCGTGGTCCTTGGTGCCGCGAAGGTAGCGGAGGACCCTCTTAGCAGCTTTCCAGTGCACCTCGGTGAGGCGACCAGTGCCAACAAAGCGAGCGAGCACGCTGATGGGGTAGGCGAGGTCGGGACGAGTGCACATCATAGCATACATCAGCGACCCAATGAGCTCAGCATAACGGTGAGAGGAGGAGGAGGGCGAGGTGGGTGGGGCAAGCTGGTGGCCAAAAGGGAGGGGGGTGGCCACGGGACTCGCCTGGGCCATCTCGAACTTCTCCAAGATCTGGCCGATGTAATGAGACTGGGAGAGGGTGATGGTGCGAGCGGGACGGTCGCGGGTGATAGCCATGCCAAGGTAGTGGGTGAGGTCGCCCAGGTCCTTGCACTTGAGGCGCTGCTGCCGCTGCTGCTTCATCTGCTCCATGTCAGACTTGGAGTCAGCGAGCAGGATTATGTCATCCACATACACCAGAATGAAGAAGTGGCGAGGGGAGGAGCGAAGGAAGAGTCTGGCATCAGAATGCGAGGTAGAGAAGCCAAGGGACCCCAGGGTGGCAGACAGCTTCGCGTGCCACTCCCTTGGCGCCTGCTTCAGGCCGTAGATAGGCCGATGCAGCTGCCACACAGTGTTCTCTGGAAAGGCGGCGTGGAACACGGGGGGTCGCCGGAGGAAGATACGCTCGTGCAGGTCCCCTTGCAGGAACGCGTTGGAGACGTCCATGGAGCAGATCTCCATGTCGTCGCGCGCACCAATGTCGAGGAGGGTGCGGAGGGTGGGCGGCTTGGCGGTGGGGGCGTAGGTGAACCAATAATCCTCAGCCCAAGTCTGGGTGAAACCCTTAGCGCAATAGCGGGCCTTGTAGGAGGAGGGAGAGGGGGGAGGGGGCGCAGTGGAGTGGGCCGGGGAGGCGGGTGCGGCGGGATCATAGAGTTCAGCAGAGGAGGACGGAGGGAGTGGAACGGCAATGGGGGGGAGGAGAGGAGAGGGAGGGAGGAGAGGTGGGAGGACAGTGTCAGTCCAAGCGAGGGGGCGAGAGGGAGGAGGGAGAGGGTCAGGAGGAGGAGTGGAGTAGTAAGGGATGGACTCGTAGAAGACGACGTCAATGCTGCGGATGAGGCGGTTGGTGGGAGGGTGGAGGAACAGGTAGCCTGGGGAGTCGCGATTGTGCCCGAGGTAGACGCACTCAAGGGCACGGGGGGCGAGCTTGCCAGCGGCACGGGAGCGATCGGCCGGTGGGATGAGGACGAAGGACTTGCAGCCCCAAACGTGAAGGCCGGCAGCGTCAAGCTTGGCCTTAGACCAGAGTTCTGTGGGGGAGGAGGGATTCTGAGGGTGGGAGCGGAGATTGAGGAGGAGGGCGGCATGGAGGAGGGCATAGCTCCAAAGGGAGGGAGGGGTGGAGGCGTGAGCAATGAGGCAACGGGCAATTTTGGTGATTTCGCGGATGCGACTCTCAGCAATGCCATTTTGCTGAGGGGAGTGGGGAAGGGTGGAGGTTTGCTGGATGCCATGAAATTTGCAGAAGGTGGCAAGGGTGTTGCTGATGAACTCACCCCCACCGTCAGAGTGAAGGCGGCCAATGGGGCGTTTGAAGTGATTGCGGCACTGCTCAGCCCTGTTGATGACAACAGCCGGCACCTAGTCTTTGGTGTGAAGGAAAAAGACAGTGGAGTACCGACTGTGGTCGTCAACGAGGACGAGCATGTACCGGTGCCCTGACGGGAGCGGATGGGATAGGGACCCCAGATATCCATGTGGACAAGGTCAATGGGGGCGGCAGCGAAGGTGGGATGGCTGTGATGGGGGGACTGCTTGAGCTTGCCGTGAATGCATGATGGGCATGGGGGAGCAGGAGAGGAAGGGAGGGGAGGTAAGGTGAGAGGGAGGCTGTGAAGGAGGCGAGAGGTGACAGTGGTGCGAAGTGCGGCGAAGTTGGGATGTCCGAGTCTGTGACGCAGAACGACTGCTGGGTGGGAGAGGGCAGTAGAGGAGGAGGGGGAGGGGGTGGAAGAAGATGTGGGGAGGGAGGAGGAGGGAAGTGAAGTAGGGGAGGGGGATACCTGAGGGGGAGGGAGAGGGGGAGGAGGACCGGTGGAAGTACCAGCACGAGTGGTAACATGACAGAAAGAGGGACGGGGTGTGCGGAGCGTGTATAGGCGAGTGCGAGGGCAAAGGGGAATGCGCAGAAGGAAGCGACCAGAGGAGGTTTGGTAGAGATCACAGTAATTGGCAAAACCAGGGTAAATGGCGGTAATACCGACACCTTGGAGCTCTCGGTGAGAGAGGAGGTTGTTGCGAAGGGTTGGGATGTGGAGACCTGTTACCCTATTGGAGGGGAAAGCGGTGCAAGGGAGGGTGGAGAGGTGAGTGCATGGGTTGGAGAAGCTGGAGTCAGCACCATGAACCTGGGTGGGAAGTGGGAGGGGGGTGAGGGTGCCAGCGTCTTTGAGTGCGGTTTCCATAACCCCACTGTCAAGGACAAAGTCCAAGGTGGGGGAGGAAGGAAGGGGAGGTGACACGGGGTACTGGAACGACGTTTCATTGATAGCAGAGGGATACATGGAAGCGACGGATGGTGCAGCAACAACATGACCAAGGAAACTGCCCTGAGAATCAGGGACACTCGGGGGGTAGAGGGAATGGAACCCTAGGGGGGGGGAGCAAGGGAGGCATGAACGGCCATGGCTGTTGCGCCGAAGGTCATCGGCTGCTGCTGCCACTGCGGCGGAAGGTACTGCGTCATCGGCTGCTGCTGGAAGAACTGCTGCTGTGGGGGCTGCTGCGGCTGAAAAAGCGGCGGCTGCTGCTGCTGAAGAAACTGCGGCTGTTGCGGTGGCGGGAAGTACTGCTGCTGGTGCTGCTGAAACTGCTGCAGGTGGGAGGGGGGGGGGGGGGGGGGGGGGGGTGAGCAGATGGAGGTGAGCGGGGAGGAAGGAGGGGAGGGTTTGAATTGATGGATAGCGTGCGAATCTGGAGAGCGTACAAGAGATTAAGTCCGCCGACTTTGACGGAACATTGCATACAGCTCACGCAACCTTAAGCTATGAGCAGGTACGCGTTGGAAACTTCTTAATCTCTACTTTCCAGAATGGTAACACTCGCTTTAAACCAAGATCTAGGCCGATCGCTATCGCGATTTAAGTGCGACGGGGTGTCCTAGCCGAATTACTTGGCAGCCATGGATTACATATAGGAATGGCTTAAGCTAGAGTTCAGATCTGAAAAATGACGAGTTTGACAAACCCTACCATCCCAACCCTCGCCATACAACAATCCCCAACAACCCAAAATGCCAAACTAGCAACACCAAAGGTGTTGTAGTGGGTAGCAAAGGTTTGTTGGTGCTTGTTTGGTGTGAGATCAAATCCAGCCCGTAACAAGTCTAGCAATCATATTTTGCCCAAACCCTTAGCCCACAACCAGCTAGAGCAAAATACCACAACCACCTACACAATCAACATGAATGTCCACGAGGGAGGGGCGAGGGGTAACACTGTTCCAGCGAGGAGGGGTACCAGTGTTGCCGCGGTCAAACCAGGCGTCGTCAAGCGCCTTGAAGCATGTGGCAGGGGGGTGGTTGGTCTGACCATATGGCGTGCCGGCGTGGGGACCATGGCGGCGTACGTACGTGCAGGGGGGGAGAGTCCCAAGGCGGCCACCACCACGACTCACAGCTCCACCAGCACTAGAGGAGCCTCCGGGAGTGGGGCCACCAGAACCACCACCACCACCACTACCACCACGGCCACCATGGCCACTACCCCGACTGCCACCTCCGCCCCCTCCACGACCCCCTCCGCCACCGTTGCGACCACCCTGGGTGCGCGGCTGCGTGGCATTGAGGGAGGTGGAGGAGGAGTGAGTGGTGGTGAGGTTGACAATGGGGGTGCGGAGCTTGACCTCCGTGTCAATGATCCACTTAGTCACTTCGGGGAGGACAGCCAAGGGGTTAGCCTCGGTGAAGGCGTGAAGGCGGGACTCATATTCCGACGTGAGGTTGAAGAGCAGACGGTGGATGTGCAGGGGCTTGGAAAGGGCAGCCTGTCGAGCGGCAAGTCGATCGGCGACCTCCTGCATGCGCCCTACATAGTCGACTGCGCCGTCGCAGGTGGCAAGGGTGATGGAGAAGTACTGGAACAGAACGCCGATGGAGCTGATGTCGCGACGCTTGAACATAGACTGGAGCTCGGTCCAAATCAGGTGTCTTGAAGGACGCAGTAGGGTCCGACGAAGGCGTCTTGAAGGACGCGGCGAATGCTGCCGACGAACGAGTGCCAGTTGATGGCAGAGCGATCTGCCGCAAGTTGCAGCTTGTCAACAGAGGAGGCGTCGATAGGAGGGGGGAGAGGAACAGGAGGGGTGGTGGCCATGATGGGCGGCGGCGGGTGGACCCGCGGCGACCAAGGAGGAGACGACGGCGGGTGGACTCGCGGCGGTCAAGGGGGAGGCGACGGCGGGTGGACCCGCGGCGGCCAGGGGGAGGGGGAGGCGCTGCTGCTGGAGCGGGGGCACTCCGCCGGCTGCTGCTGCTGTTAGGCCCCTCCGGCTGTTGCTACTGCTGTTGTTGCCGCTGCTGCCGCTGCTGCTGCTGATGGAGCTGCTGCCGCTGCTGCCGCTGCTGCTGTTGATGCCGTTACTGTCGCTGATGCAGAGGAGAGGGGAGAGGGAGAGGAGGGAGAGGGGGGTGGGGGGGGAAAGGGGAAGGAGGGTGCAGTTACGTGTGCGGCTGGCACCGATGCCGCTGCTGCGGTGGATGTCGCTGCTGCCGCTGCTTGCCGGGGATGCCACTGCTGCTGCTGCTGCCGCTGCTGCTGCTGCTGCTGCTGCTGCTGCTGCTGCTGCTGCTGCTGCTGCTGCTGCTGCTGCTGCTGCCGCTGCTGCTGCTGCTGCTGCTGCTGCTGCTGCTGCTGCTGCTGCTACTGCTGCTGCCGCTGCTGCTGCTGCTGTTGCTGCTGCTGCCGCTGCTGCTGCCGCTGCTGCTGCTGCTGCTGCCGTTTCTGCTGCTGCTGCTGCTGCTGCTGCTGCTGCTACTGGTGCCGCTGCTATAGCTGCTGCCGTTGCTGCGAGGAGAGGGGAGAGGGAGAGGCGGAGGGAGAGGGGGAGAGGGGGAGGGGAAGGAGGGTGCAGTCACGGGTACGGCTGGCACGGCTGCCGCTGCTGCCGCTGGTGTCGCTGCTGCCGCTGCTGCCGGGGATGCTGCTGCTGCTGCTGTTGCCGCTGCTGCTGCTGCTGCTGCGGCCGCTGCTGCCGCTGATGTCGCTGTTGCCGTTGCCGCCGGTGCTACCGGGGATGCCGCTGGTGCTGCTGCCGCTGCTGCTGTTGCTGCCGCTGCTGCTGCTGCTGCTGCTGCTGCCGCCGCTGCTGCCGCTACAGTAGCTGCTGCCGCTGCTGCGAGGATAGGGGAGAGGGAGAAGCGGAGGGAGAGGGGGAGAGGGGGAGGGGAAGGAGGGTGCAGCCACGGGTGCAGCTAGCACGGCTGCCGCTGCTGCCGCTGATATCGCTGTTGCCGCTGCTGCTGCCGCTGCCGCTGTTGCCGCTGCTGTAGCTGCTGCCGTGCTGCGAGGAGCGAGGAGAGGGAGAGGAGGAGGGAGGGGGGGAGAGGGGAATGCAGGTACGGGTGCGGCTGCCACGGCTGATGTCGCTGCTGTAGCTGCTGCCACTGCTCCGCTGCTGCCGCTGCTGCGGCGGCTGAAATGGCGGGGAGAGAGCGGGAAGGGGGGGAGGGTGTAGTGGCGGCGGAATATGCAGGGGGCGACGAGGTCGCGGTGGAGGGATGGGCAGGCGGCGACGATGTGGTCGCGGCAATGGAAACCGCGGGCGTTGACGGCGCGGTCACGGCGGGGAGGGGGGGCAGTCGCGGTGACGGGATGAGCAGGCAGCGATGCGCAGTCGCGGCGGCGGGAATCGGAGGCGGCGACGGTGCAGCCGTGGCAGCGGCAATCGCGGGCGACGGCGGTGTAGTCACGGCGGCCGAAATTGCGGGCGACGGCGGTGCAATCGCGGCGGCGGGACGTGCAGGCGACGACAAGGCAGTCGCGGCGACGGGACGAGCAGGCGACGACGTGCAGTCGCGGTGGCTGGAACAGCAGGCGGCGACGACTTAGTCGCAGCGGCGAGACGGGCAGGCGGCGACGTGACTGTCAAACTTATATGCTATAGTCTATCTAGGCTGTAGTGGGGTAGTTCATATAGGGTACAACACTTTTAGGTTTCCTACTTGTACCCACCTGCTTGCTAGTTCAGTCATTCATTCGTTCACTATTCTAACATGGTATTCTGAGCAGGTTCCCTAGTGGGAACGTTTTTTTTAGGGCCCACCACGAATTTTTCCTGCCTTGCCCGAAGCGCGCCTCGCGCCCTGCCCGAAGCGCGCCTCGCGCCCTGCCCTAGTACGACCAGTCGCGGCCCTGCCTTCGCTGGCCCGTCGCGGCCTTGCCTTCGCTGGCCCGTCGCGGCCCTACCTTAGCCGCCCGTCGCTGGCCCGTCCCGGCCCGTCCCGGCCCGTCGCCGCCCATCGCTGGCCCGTCGCCACGCGTCGCGGCCCTGCCTTAGCCGCCCACTGCGGCCCTGTCCTGCCTTTCGCCGCCCGACGCTGGCCAGTCCCGGCCCGACCCGGCCCGTCCCGGCCCGTCGCCGGCCCGTCCCGGCCCGTTGCCGCCCGTCGCCGCCCGTCGCTGGCCCATCCCAGTCGCGGCCCTACCTTCGCCGCCCGTCGCGGCCTCTGCCCTGCAGCCGCCCTGTTGCGGCCTCTGCCCTACAGCCGCCCTGTCGCGGCCCTGCACTGCTGCCGCCCCAGTCGAGGCCCTGCCCTGCAGCCGCCCCTGTCGCGGCCCTGTCTTGCTGCCGCCCCAGTCGCGGCCCTGCCTTAGCCGCCCGTTGCGGCCCTGCCCTACTGCCGCCCCAGCCGCGGCCTCTGCCCTTCAGCCGCCCTGTCACGGCCCTGCCCTGCTGCCGCCCCGGTCGCGGCCCTGACCTAAACCGCCAGCTGCGGCCCTGCCCTGCACCCGCCCCTGGTAAGCACCCGCGCCACCCTGCCGCGCTGCACCGCCTGCTACCGCGCCGCGCCGCCAGGAACTGAGCCGCACCGCCCTGCCGAGCCGCGCCGCACTAACGAGCCGCGCCGCCCTGCCGAGCCGCGCTGCCCTTCTGCTTGCACTACTTCTGCTTCCACAGCTGCTACTGCTGCTACTGCTACTATGGCTAGCCCTACTGTTTTCACCTTTGATGCTGAGGGGCGTGCAATTGACTTTGACGTGTGGATTGACGACCTGCAGCTCTTTCTTCAGTGTGACTCTAGGGATGGGGTATCCCTGTTTGATCACACGTCCGGTGTCTCTACTGCATTTGCTGCCACTGCTGACAGTACGGTTCGCTCGCAGTGGACCACTCGTGACGCTGTTGCTCGCCTTGCTGTTTGTAGTCACCTGCCGTCTGCTGAGCGCGCGCATTTTGGCCAGTACAAGACTGCTAAGTCTTTGTACGATGCTGTCGTAGCGCGCTACTCCTCCCCTGCAACTGCTGCCCTCAGCCGCCTCATGCTGCCGTACCTTTTCCCTGACCTTGCCGCATTTGCCACAGTCGCTGACCTCATTACCCACCTCCGCACTAGTGACGCCCGCTACCGCGCTGCGCTTCCCACTGAGTTCTGTACCAAGAACCCCCCCCCCATGTACATCACCCTTTACTACCTAGTCACCCGCCTCCCTGACTCCCTTGCTTCAGTCAGGGACCACTTTCCTCTCCCTTTGCCCCACCGAGCTCACTGTCGACCTGCTAGAGGAGCGCCTCACTGTGGCTGAGAAGAGTATCTTAGCTGTACGTGCTTCTCGCAGTGACCGTCGCGCCCCTTTCTTTGAGGGGTGTTCCCCTGTCCCCCTTCTCCCCTCTGTTGCTTCTGCTGCTGCTGTCGACCTCATTGGCACTGAGGAGGTCGGGGCTGCGTCTGCTCCTAGTGGGAGGCGCCGCACCAGCAGGGGCAAGGGGGGCAAGGGTGGTGGAGGGGACGGTGGGGGCGGCGGTGGAGGCTGTGGAGGAGGCGGAGGGGGTGGCAATGGAGGTGGGGGTGGTGGCGGGAGTGGAGGCTTTGGTGGCGGCGGTGGGGGTGGTGGAGGCAGCGGCAGCGGCGGTGGAGGCAGCGGCAGTGGTGGTGGAGGTGGCGGCGGCGGTGGTGCTGGTCAAGGTGCAGCCGCGCAGCGTGGAGGCGTTGGTGGTAGGCAACGCCAGCAGCAGCCGCGTTCCCATGAGACCCCGTCGGCCCAGCAGCTTCGTGAGTGGTACGCTGGGCGTGGGAGGTCTGGGGGTGTTGGTCCCTGCACTTACGTTCTTCGCACCGGCGGGCATCGTGGGGAGACGTGCGGGCTGCCACACACTGCGCACCGCTGCTTCGGTCGCCTGACTGACGCCTGGCGCGCCCAGTTTCTTGACGCTGTTGAGCTCCCGCGCTGGGGTGATCTGCTTAAGCAGAATGTTGCAATCTTTGATCTTGATTTCGATGCTATCCTTGCTGCCATGTATGCTGTGACTGATAGTGCTGAGGGTGACTGTTACCTGAGTGTTCCGCCCGACCCGGGCATTGAGGCTGCTGCTCTAGGTGCTAGTGCGTCTGCTGCTCCAGGTCCTGGTGAGTCTGCTCTCTCTGGTACTACAACTACTGAGGCCTTGCACACTTTCACACTTGAATCTGGTGCTTCGCGCTCTTTCTTTCGCGACAGCACCACAGTCACACCGCTCAGTCGGCCTGTCGCAGTCTCCCTGGCTGACCCCTCTGGGGGCCCAGTCCTTGCGCACTCTTCCACGGTTCTACCGTGTCCTGCGGCCCCGTCGGGCTTGCTATCGGGAGTCCACCTCCCCTCGTTCTCTACGAACTTGGTGAGTGGAGCTGACCTCCAGGACGCGTGGGTTGACCAGTTCACCCCTGGAGGTCAGCGTGTGACCCACTGCACTTGCTCTCAGACGGGCCGCCACCTGGCCACGTTCACCCGTCGGCCTGGGTCGAGTCTGTACACACTGACTACTGCGTCTCCTCCGGTCACTGCGTCTGGTCAGGTAGCTGCGTCTGGTCAGGTGTTTTCTGCCGCGTCCAGGTCTAGTCCAGTGTCTGCCCCCTACTCGTGTCGTCCTCTGTCACACGAGACTCTCCTTTGGCACCACCGCCTTGGTCACCCCTCCCTGCCTCGTCTTCGAGGTATGGCCTCCCGTACCCTTGTCTCTGGTCTCCCCCAGTCCCTCCCTCCCCTTCCTCTGGGGCCTGCCCCTACCTGTGTTCCTTGTGTCGAGGGCCGGCAGCGCGCCGCTCCTCACTCCTCCGAGTTCCCTCCGACAGAGGCTCCCCTGCAGACTCTTCACATGGACGTGTGGGGCCCAGCCCGCGTCCGTGGACAGGGTAACGAGCGTTACTTCCTGCTGGTCGTAGACGACTACTCGCGTTACACCACAGTCTTCCCCTTGCGCAGCAAGGGTGAGGTCCCTGAGGTGTTGATCGACAGGATCCGCGGTACCCGTCGCCAGCTCAGCGAGAGTTTCGGCTCGGACCTTCCTGTTCTGCGTCTACACTCAGACAGAGGTGGTGAGTTTTCCTCCGACCTTCTGAGGGTCTTCTGTCGTGCGGAGGGCATCCGCCAGACGTTCACGCTTCCGGCCTCCCCGCAGCAAAATGGGATTGCTGAGTGCCGCATTGGCATGGTCATGGACGTCGCTCGTACGTCCATGATCCATGCGGCTGCTCCCCATTTTCTGTGGCTATTCGCAGTTCAGTATGCTGCGCATCGAATCAACCTTCAGCCTCGTGTCTCCTTGCCGGAGACCACACCTACTCTGCGGTGGACGGGGAAGGTTGGCATTGCGTCTGCGTTCCGTGTCTGGGGATCTCGAGCTTTTTTCTGCGATACTTCAGCAGACAAGCTGTCCTCCCGTGCCGTTCCCTGCGTCTTCCTTGGCTTCCCCCCTGACCCACCCGGGTGGCAGTTCTACCACCCCATCTCGCGTCGTGTTCTGTCCTCTCAGGACGTCACGTTTGATGAGTCGGTGTCTTACTACCGTCTCTTTCCCTACCGCACTGCCTCTCTCCCCCCCCCCGCCACTCTTCCTAGCACCAGGTACTCCTCTGGTAGACCCCCTCCCCCCTCAGGGTCCTGCCCCCTCAAGTGTGTCCCAGGTAGACCCTGTCGAGCCTGTCGAGGTAGCTGTCGACTCAGGTGCTGCTAGGGGTGCTGAGCCTGCGGGTGCGGGGACTGGGGGTATTGGGCCTGGGGCTGCTGTGTTTGAGGGTGCGGAGCCTGGGGATGCTGAGCCTGAGCGTGTGGAGCCTGGGGGTGCTGAGCCTGGGGGTGCTGAGTCTGGGAGTGCTGAGCCTGGGGGTGCTGAGCCTGAGCGTGTTGAGTCTGGAGGTCCTCCGGGTGTCCCGTCACGGCGGGAGCCCCTCTCTCCGCAGCAGCTTCGTGAGTGGTACACTCTGCGCTGTCGCCGTGCTGCTGGTGCTGGAGCTGCTGGAGGTGCTTCTGGGGCTGCTGGAGGTGCGTCTGGAGCTAGAGCTGCTGGAGGTGCTGCTGGTGCTGGAGCTGCTGGAGGTGCTGGTTGAGCTGGAGCTGCTGGAGGTGCTGCTGGAGCTCGAGCTGCTGGAGGTACTGCTGGTGCTGGAGCTGCTGGAGCCGCTGGTCCTGGAGGTACTGGTGCTGGAAGTACTGGTGCTATTGGAGCTGCTGGAGGTGCTAGAGCAGCTGGTTCCGGAGGTGCTCGTACTGGAGGTACTTGGGCTGTTGGGGCTGGTGGTGCTTCAGGAGTTGGAGCTGCAGGTGCTGGAGCTGTTGCTACTGGAGGTGCTGCAGGAGCTGGAGCTGTTGGAGTTACTGGAGCTGGTGGTGCTGCGGGAGTTGTAGCTGGAGACCCTGGAGCTGAGGGTACTGGTGCTGTCTCTGCTGTTTCTGGAGGCGCTGCGCGGCCGCGGCCGTACTACGTTCCGCTCCTTCAGCACGTTCTTTGTCCTCCTCCTCCTTTACTGAGTCCACCGCCTGTCCAGTCACAGTTGCAGTTACAGCCGGCCTCTCCACTGCCTGGTCCTTCTCCTTACTCTGGACCGACTAGAGGCCTTACCGAGCGTCGTGAGCCT